CATGGGGATTCCGAATACAATATTGGTTTTCAGGATTATCGATTACTTTTATCGATTTTATCGATTTTTTTGCAAAGTTTGAGCTACGGGGCTGGGAGTTGGCACAGGGGGGTAATCGAGCATGGGGATTACGAATACAATATTAGTTTTCAAGATCGTCCATTACTTTTATCGATTTTATCGATTTTTTGAAAATTTGAGCTAAAGGGCTGGAATTTGGCACAGGGGTGTAATCGAGCATGCTGATCACCCCCCTTGGGGATGATCAGCATGCTCGATTACCCCCCTGTGCCAACTCCCAACCCCCTAGCTCAAACTTTGCAAAAAAAGATAAAATCGATAAAAGTAATCGATAATCCCGAAAACCAATATTATATTCGGAATCCCCATGCTCGATTACCCCCCTGTGCCAACTCCCAGCCCCGTAGCTCAAACTTTGCAAAAAAATCGATAAAATCGATAAAAGTAATCGATAATCCTGAAAACCAATATTGTATTCGGAATCCCCATGCTCGATTACCCCCCTGTGCCAACTCCCAGCGCCGTAGGTGAACTCTGCAAAAAAATCGATAAAAATCGATAAAATCGATATCGATCGATGACGAAAAGTAGCCTATGACACGCGCCGGGGCCCGAAGTGTATGTGTGCCAAGTTTGGTCCGGATCGGTTCAGAAATGGAATTTTCTATTCGGAACATACGTACACACAGACATACAGACATACATACATACATACATACATACATACATACAAACAGACATTCAGCTTTATATATTAGGGTTAACGGTAAAAAATGGGACACTTACGAAATAACTGGAGGTTTCTCAGGAATGAGAAGCGATTAGGCTTTCCAATTTTGAAAGATGTTAGAATATGTTATTATCTTTCTGATAGTACCTATATAAGGTCATTTACATGATTAATAATTTTTGTACTTGCTGAAATGCAAAGTTAATCACTTCGTTAAATTATGAAGTTTGAGCAGTGTCTGCGCAGCGAAACATCTGAGACCACCCAAAGTGCCACTGCTGGAGTGGGTGGTGGGACAGCCACTAAACCCACGACGGGTTGGTGGTCTCAACTTTCAAAGTCAGGAGATATGGCCATTAGCAGCTTTGAGGACAAAGACACGCGCTATTCAATTCTTTGCAGGTGAACGCATGTTTTCTTGGCACCATCTGATAGAGCTTTTTGCGCTCTATCCATCCATATGCAGATTATCTCAGATTTTATCTATCTTTGGGAAATATGGGGCAAAACATGATTTTTTTGGTTTTTTATTGCGCCAAAAATAGCTATTTTTCGTGTTTTTTCCCTTTTTTTCTGAAATTGAAAAGAAATCTTAAGCATTTGACATACCAGTTGAAAGAGCATGAAAAGCTTTTTCGAATGGTATGTCATATGCTTTACGACTTCACGGTATAGCAGCGCAAGATTGAGAACTGTTCCAAAAACCCCGTTTGAGTTCTTTACGGCGCCACGCGTACGGTTATGAGAGAGGAGCGGTAACGCGTTGCCAGAATAATAGGCGAAGGTCGTTTATGTAAGCAACGTTTGAGTTGTAGCCTGCTTTTTGTTGATGAGAACAAAAAACCTCAAAATGTAAAAAAAATCAAGTTGTCCCATTTTTTACCGTTCACCCTAATATAAGATAGAAGCTGAAAACTGTAAAAAGCTTGAATGCGGTATGCACAGACAAGGCGAAAAAATCATCTCATCAAATTCACCTAATTTCGCAGCACTTTCCTGGTACGAGCAGCATTCTAATAAGAAATAGTTAACTCAACAACGATCCACTTTGGCAAATTGTACTAACTGATAATGCTCTCTTGTCTAGTAGACGTTGCATGTTGCACATATGATAACTGCACTTTATGAGCGCCGCCTGACTTTCGCAATATCGCTGGGCTGCACGCTTTGAAAAATCTCGCTTCCTGAGTTTCGTAATGGTACTATCTCCAAAAGTTTACTGCGATCTTCGTATTCTACGTAATGTTTTTGCTCGCATATCAACTATGCAGCGAGATGACATTTTCGTCAGCAAGAGTATTTGCGAAATACGTTCATATTATGTGCCACTATAAGGCAGCTTTACCCTGGGAGATACACAACACGTCGCTATCAACGTTTGTTGTGACACAGAGGAAGCTTACAACAGAAGAGCCCCGTTGACCCCCGAACCCGCCCGCTTTATTGCGGGATGATTAATGTATGGGTCGGTTTGGCCACAATACGTAGCAAATGGCCGAACATATTATGTGAGTTCATAAAGCTAATATATCAAGCCATTTTGAGAACATCACGAATTAGAGCACACTGCTAGAGAAATTAAATCGGTCGACCCAAAGTTTTTTTAGCCCTAGACATTCTATCTAAACTTTCAAAATCGCTCTGATGTAGGTGTTTACAGGATTGTGCCCTGAGCGAAGGTCGGTGAGATTGCGGCCATTGGTCACATATAAACTTTATCAGATTTTTTTCTCCTGTCATAAACGTTTTTCTGCTATCAGACGTAGCTTTTGATAATCCGAAGCGATTCTGGAAAATGTTGATTCAGTTTAACTGGTTTGCGTCCGTGGCATCCGGTGGCAGTCTATCTCAACGACCTCCTACGATTACGCAGACTTATACCTGCTAATTTCACCTGTTAGTACCCAAAGAATCTGCAAAATATGATTGTTAGAGAATCTGTTTTGCTGATCTCGGTTAGGTCAGCGGAGCGGCATTGGTAATAAAAATATCTATTGGTTCTTTGAACATCACGAGCTTCTATGTAACAAAAATACATCATAGTGCCAGGCATTTTGCCATGTTGCATCTCCCATCAACTCTATAACTCATTGTCAGTAGTATATAGATTTTTCCCGACATAGGTTCAACTGATCTGAATTTTCAGTGTTTGTGCTCTCATTTCTGCTTCAGCTGGATCAAGTAAGTACAGTAAAGCTCAATGGAGCTCTATAATGCGTTAGAAAATTACATGTATGACTAGCTGTACTTACTCCCCTAATTCTTCTGTCAAAGTAAATGTATAGCTCTTGGAATGTTGAGAAACAATGTGCCCTACCCCACCAGCTGAGGAGCACTCGTGCAAGATTTGTTATATAGCCGTTTCTTGAGCAGTTTCTCTTACTAAATCACCACTCTTGGACTGCATGATGTCTAGAATGTTTCATGAGACAGCTCCATCGCAAACTTCACAAATTAATTCTTACCATGTTCAGCTGTTTTCTCCTAGTTTTGCTTGAACATCCATTAAAAGTTATGAACTACACTTTGAGTATTAACTCCTCCTTGAAAACGTCACGATTGTGCAGACAAATGTGGAGGGTTGAAATAGAGAAATAGAATAGAATAGAAATGCAGCCAAACCACTTAGTTCGACAAATGAGCAGTAATTTTTACAGGTCCCAAAAGCTCCATCCCTTTTGACTTTGACACGCGATAACTCATACAATTCTTATTGCTAAATGGGCATCTGAAAACCATTCGAATAAAGCAGACAAACTTTACAAGATGTCGTTCTTGCTTTTGCATCAGCTTCAATACATCGCGAGTTTAGAGCCAAAAACCAGAAAGATTCACTTACCCGAGAAAAAATCGTGACTTCATCCAAAAAAAAAATCCTATAAAAATCCTAAATCGCTCACGCATGCACTTTTCACATGAGAAGTTTATATACGATTGCCATAATTTTTGTCGACTAGAATTTGAGAGAATGAAAATTTTTATGCTTTTGTCAAATTGATGCTATGGTGTTACCATATAAGCACTTGAATACTATAAGCCTCTAGAAGTACAAACGTGAATTTTCGGCTTTCTACAAGCCTTAGTTCTTGGAGAAATATGGATTTTAATTTTGTTACACGACCAATGGTGCTTCACTCAATATTTTTTGAGAACTAAAGCTTGTAGAAAGCTGAAAATTTTGACTTTTACAGGCTTGTAGTATACAATTACTTATGGGGAACATCACAGCATCAATTTGGCAAGACCATGGATGTTTTCGGTTTTAGCCAAGGAAACAATACAGCAATTTCTTGTATAAAGGCTTACGTGAAAAGAACATGCGCCAGCAAGTTAGGTTTTTTCTTTGGACGGAGCTACGTTTTTTCTCTATTTTCTAAGCTGTCGAATCTTTTTGGTTTTTTTGCATTAAAATCGCGGTGAAGTGAACCTGATGCAAAATCATGAAAGCCATCTTGTAAAGCTTGCTCTGCTCTATCGAATGGTAGGTGGATGCCTATTCACAAATAAAAAATATGTGAGTTATTGCGGGTCAAAGTCAAAAAGGACGGAACTTACGGAAGTTGAAAAAGTTTAACAAACTATAGGCCACTTATTATCTAGTACTAGTCGGAGGCTTGACAACTGACGTCTCATTGCCTGATTGGAATTTTCAGAGGAATTAGCTAACGTTACGTTCCAGTCTAAGCCGATAATCTACCCAGTTATGGTGCAGTCAACTTCACTTCATTTAATCCTGGACAGAATGTACTTTTTGTCTGCAATTGCCCACAGAAAGTTACATTACTCCAAAGCCTTCTTGCATTGACTGTCCTTACCTCCCAATCTTGTAGTCATCGACATATTAGACTTAGCCTTCTTTGAACCGTATCTGCATTTCCACATCTTCCCGATCCAGATTTCCCCACATATTGAAACCCGTAGGCATTTAGGAGTGCAATAAACACTTATTGTTGAACATACGGCGAAACTATGATTGGCTAAAATGGAGTCGACATAAACTAATATAACTTGAATTATTACTACGATTAGGTATGTATATACAACGCTAGGTTTGAGCGCTTTCTTGTGAGAAAATGGAGGAGCTACAAGGCAGCTTCATAGCAGATCATGATAATTTGTGAAGAAGAAGGAATCACTCCTGCTTACCAAAATTCTGAGCAATTTTGACTTCCTTGTGTATTCTGTTTTCTTCAAATCTTTTCAGCAGACTAGCACTGCATATGCGATAGATGGCTAGACAGATGTTGCTCTTTGCTTGAAGTTTATTACTCTATATTACTCTACATAATCCTGGGTAATGCAAAACAACGACGGCAGATAATCGAAACTTCTATACAATAGATGAGAATGACGAAGTGACATATCAAAATTTGCTCTCTAAGAAGCTCCTCTCTCAAATTCCACAACTCTACCCTCCCATAAAATCCGATTTTTTTCATAACAATGTGATGAGGCATTATATACTGATCAGGGTTAGTTTTTGTGACACCTGCTTTAGCTATCGAGAGTAGTCAGAGAAAAGTAAACAGTCAGTCTTCAAGGGTGCTCCAAGCGTCTACTGACTCATCAGGAGCCAGCAATCTCGGATAATCGGGTAATTTTATGAATACTTCAGTGGCTCCGAACTTAGAACCAAAGTGGCCACCCCACCAGCGGCGGTCTTTGCCGCAACTCAGGACACCTATGGTTCTCATACCGGCTGGGTAATCTTCGAACACATATTCAACGAGCACCCATGCTTTTCCTTCTCAAAATCAATTAATTAGTTACACTATAAATGAAGCGGTACTCAACCAACTTTCTTCAGTCGCGGTCCAGCTTCTCTTGGCCGTGCGAAAGCGGGGATAAATCGCATTTTCTTGATTTTCGTAGTCTTCACTAATAGCATCAAAGTTTTCATCCCCTTTGAGGAGCTTCACGTGAAGCTCATATTCTGCCGGACAATCCCATCTACAAATGCAGCGTTCACGAACAGTGATTTCTGGTCGAACCAAATCCATGACCCAATCCTGCAAAAGACCTGATATTAGCTAACAGAAAATAGTGTCGCGGTCCCCACAAAATGATGTTGAATGCTGTGAGCTTCATAATACAATATGAACATGGTTCATTTGTTGCTGCCCATTATAGTGGCACATAAAGTTATTAGCAGGGTCAAGCGTTGGGTGTGGCATGCCACATGGGGTCGTATTGAGGGGTCGAGGAGCGGGGAAAGAGGATCGTTATCGAGGTGAGCTGATGCTAGCGATAACACGATATTCGTTAGCAATGTCAGATAGGCACCGTGTAGAGTATTAGCACATTGATGTTTTGGCCTACCATCGTGTACGTATAGTATTCGTAATAAAAGAGCGCAACAAATATAAGGCATCATTTTCGTAACTATAACGTCAATTAATCCCTGTGGGCTAAGCTTCAGCTAATTTTGAAGTTCCAAATATTGGGTCATCCTAGTGAGTAGCCATTTTCAAACATGCTGCCTTCGTTTTAAATGTGAGTTATAGTGTGGACCCCGGCCAGCTTTCCATAGGTACCTGCGCGAGGCACTCGCAGCGCACGCCTTCAGTGCCTCTCCTGTCTTAGCTTCTGATGGAAATCCTCCTTTCTCTCTTTGGTTTTTGTTTTTGGTGTATATATTCTCTCTATTTCGGGTAAAAACAATTCGCGATGACCGGTGACGAGATTTCACGCGCTGTAAAATTCTAAGAGCTTCAGTCTTGCGTAGTAGTCTCGTGTTTTCCCTTTTTTCTCTGAAAAATTGAGATTTGATTGGATATTAAGATAATATTCCTTCAAAAGCTTCTTGTATAAAATAAGAGTCCCTTCCGGTTTGATGTGTAAGGTGTAAACAGTGTCTCAAGTCAAAATTGAGCCTTCCGAGAAGCCAATAGGCATATGTTTACTGAAATGTCCACTTTTCTCGAAATTTTTGACCACTCTAGCTCCTAGGTCCACAAAGAGAAGTGTTTTAAGAATGCTGTTGTTCTTTAATTTCTTTACGTATACTTATTACAACCTATTCATCAGTGCAAGTTCGGAATACGCATCCATTGATTGAGTTTGAGATACTCATGGAGGCTGCCTGCTTTCGTTCTTGCATACATCTCTTTCGAAGTGAAACTAGAGGTTTCCACTTTACATTTTTCTCCCTTGTGAGCATAAATGTGCTCTACTGCTCATGAGTGAGGCGAGAAGCACTAAGAAGGGCGCGCGCTGCGTGCGCGCCGCGGAAGTACCTATGGGAACCTGGCCGGGGTCCACACTATAACTATTTCTTTCTGCACTTATGAAAAGCTACTGCTTCTTTGCTCACATTAGGAATCTTATCTCGAATAAATTCCAAACTATGGAATTACAGAGCAAGCCCAAATAGCTTTCAATACTTCAAATTAGAAGACCAGTCAGGCTCAAATCACTTTCATGTAAATTATGAGGCTTAATCTATCAAATATATTTATCCTTGTCGCGTTTCGCGATTTACATAGTAGCGCAGACTAGGCATGTTACCGTAATCCAGTAGTTTCGCAGTATTTTCCATTTGCATAGGTAAGGAAAAGCGACTATATCTTTCCCTAAAACAAACGATTTTGAATGGTTTTCTCTCTGTATAAAGAAGAAGGTTGAGCAATAGCAACGACATACAAAACGCAGATATTTGAAAGGTTTGAAGGTAAGTTAATGGGGTGAGGCACAGTTCCTAAAAAGCTGTGGCGGCCACAGCTTTATAGGGATTTCACTCCTGCTAGGTGCGGACCTCAGCGGACATGTGGGAATAAGGCGAGGAGAAGCCGGGAAATGTCACGGAGGTCACGGATACGGAACATGTGACAAAGAAGGTGAGCGCATTTTGAAATTCGCCTCATCTCATGATCTGGTCCTGGCGAACACATCCTACATCAAGAAAGATGATCACCTCATAACATATGCGAGTGGAGATCGACAAACACAGATAGACTTCTGGGCTATCCGACAGCATGACATCAAAACTTAAAGGCCTGCAAAGTCATTCCCGGTGAGAGCTGCATGCCTCAACACAGACCACTGCTTCTCGACATCAGAATCCCAATGGATAGGCACACCAGGAGAGCCACAGAGACCAGGACACGCATTAAATGGTGGAGATTGAAAGGTAGTAACGCGGCGAAACAAACACTGCTAACAACTCTACCACGCTTGCAAGATAACCCAGATCAATCCTGGGGAAGCTTGAAAGATCGAGTCCACGAAGTGGCACACATGATCCGGGAAGTACGAAGCCAGGAAAAAGAAGGATCAATCGAGAAACGTGGTGGTGGAATGAAGAACTGCAAAAAGTCATAAAGGAGAAGAGGAATGCGTACAAGCGATGGCATAAGACGAAATCGGAGGACGATCGTCAGACGTACCAACAAGCCAAGCACGTTGCGAAGGCTTCCGTAAAGAATGCAAAACAGATGTACTTGAAAGAGCTCTACGATTCTAGAATCTCGCGAGGGAGGACTTGAGATATACCGGATAGCGAAAAGAAGAGCGGAATCTACAAAAGATATGGAACACTTCCTCCATATCAAGGACAAACTTGGAAGGGTGCTAAGAAAACCAGAGGACATCACCAAGAGATGGAGAACCTACTGCGAAAAAATGGCCACCACAGACCGCACCACCATCAATTCCATCTCAGAAACCAGTCCCATACAAGGACCTGTACCAGCAGTCACTGAAGAGGAAGTATGGCTAGCCATAAGAAAAATGAAGAATGGCAAAACGACTGGTCCAGACGACATACCAAGCTAGTTCTGGAAAATATGTGGACAATCCGGAGCCACATGACTAACGAGTCTTCTCAATCAAGACATAAGAGGCAAGAGCTCAGATAATCGCGGGGGGCAGGCGGTCCGCAAACTCGCGTTTTCTTGCAGGCGGTCAGCAAAATTTTGAGGCGTGGCCAAACCTTCAGCGGGCGGTACCTCCTTTACTGTCGAATGTTCTGCTAGCGGGGCAGAATACAGAGTTTTCTGCGGGCGCCCGTCAAATAATCTCTTTCAGCGAGCGCTGGCCAAACTTTCGCAGGCGCTCGGACTGTTTTTAAGCAGTTTCGGGCGTACGTCGAGCAAATGTAAGACTCTATGTGGCAGAGGTGTCATCGATGGTTTAATTACTCAAGTTTGAGGTACTTTCTCTTAGCGGAAAGTACCTGAGGGCTGTGCGGTCCTCCACAAAGGACCGCGGCTCTCAATAATTTTGCATATTCTCGCGGAAAGTCCGCGAGAATGCGGCCAATCGCCGCAACTAATCTATAGGAAAACCGCGATAATTCCCCGAGCATTCGTCTAAAAATTGGTCTACATTCCTTCAAATCTCTGCAAGCGGTCCGCAAGAAATAGCGAACTATTTTTCCGGTGCCCGCTTGCTCAAAATTCGCATGGCCGCCTACCCCCCGCGATCATCTGAGAGTATGCCTCGCGATTGGTACACCAGCACGACGATCCCTATATGGAAGAACAAAGGAGATATAGCAGACTGCTCATCCTACCGACCAATCCGACTGATAAGCCACACTCTAAAAATCTTTGAGCGAATAATCGAAACGCGTCTTCGAGATATTGTAGAGTTGTCACCGAATCAGTGCGGATTCGTGAAAGGACTAGATACAGCTGACGAAATCCACTCCACCCTTATAGTGATGGAGAAGTATAAAGAGAAGCAGAAGGAATTGCATGCAGCCTTCCTGGATCTGGAAAATGCTTTCGGTAAGGTGCCCCATGGTCATGTGATGGGCCTTACGGAAATACAAGGTGCCAGAGGAGTACGTTCAGTGGATAAAGTTGATCTACCACAACGCTTCAAGCCACGTGCAAAAGCTGCAGGGCAATCGAAAGAATTCTAAATCAAGGTCGGAGTACACCAAGGTTCAGTTCTCTCTCCCTTGCTCTTCATCACTGTGATGAACGCCGTGATGGAAGCGCTCAACGCGGTTCCTTGGACATTTCTCTACGCAGAATGTGGTCTTGATACCAAGTACCAGAAAGGGGCTACAAGACGAGGTACAAAACTGAAAGAACAGGCTAGACTTGTATGGGCCGAAGCTCAACATCAGGAAGACAGAGTATATGGAAGTGGGGAAACAGACTCCTGGTACCATAAGCAGCGATGGTATAGAGCTAAAGAAGACAACGTCATACAAGTACTTAGACACTCACATCTCAGCGGAGGAGGCTTACAAGAGGAGGTCGCAAGCAGGATGAACACAGCATGGATGAAATGGAGAGCCTTAGCAGGAGTTCAGTGCGACAGAAGAATGCCACTGCAACTCAAGTCCCAACCGTACCGCACCGTCATCCGGTCAGCACCACTGTATGGCAGTGAATGCTGGCCGTGTACGCGCGTCGAGGAGCGCAAACTCAGTGTCATGGAAACAAGGATGCTACGATGGGCCTTAGGAGTCACACTAAAGGATCACATCTGCAGTGACACTATACAAGCGCAGATGAATAGCTTTAAATGCCCAGAAAATGCAGGAAGAGAGGTTACGATAGTATGAGCTTGCGCGCAGAAGGGATGAAAGTCACATTACAAAGTCAGCCCTGGCTGTGGAGGCGCCAGGCAAAAGACCCGGAGGTAGACCAAAATGAGGTGGACGGACAGAATCAAGGCCGACCTGCGAGAACTTGGTATAGATGAAGACCTTCCCTCAGATAAAACGACGTGTTTGACGAGAAAAGCAGACCCTGCGTGCGGGATGCATGCGAGGATAAAAAAATATACAGGGTCCCAAAAAATGTACTCACTGTTTGATAAATAACTCTCTTGTAATAAAGTTTTTCGGGAAGCTTTAGATACCATTTTGTAGAGCGAGGTTCAACTTAGATTTACAGTATGGAACGAATCATCTATCGCTCTTCATTACTGAAAGATTACGGCACGAAATTTGAAGGATTTCAGGCCATTGGAGGCCATATTCTGCCTCGGAACAAAGCCAAACAAGACCTATACTACAGTAATGGAAGCCGCTGATTTCGAA